GTAATCTTAAACACACTTTTTTGTGGTGCAAATAGTTTTACTATTTACTGCACTTTGTTATTCTTCTAGTTTTTTACCTAATGAACCAGAAGTGTCTCGCACATACATAGAAAATAGCTTACTTCCACATTGCAAAATAAGGTGGATATGCAAGTTCTGTTTGGTTATGACCGAGTGTGAAGAGGTAGTGATGCACATGCTGCGTTCTTTCCATTCATAATCTATGGACGTTCATGAATTCGACTATGAATATTTGCAGTGTTCGAGTGCACTCTTTACAAAGACTTAATTCGTTTTGGTGAGCAACTGCTCGGAGAAGAGCTTTTTGAGCTGGGCCACTTCCTCGCCGAGAGAGCTGAGCTGAGATTTGAGCATGCTGTTCTCGGCTTGGTATTGAGATTCGCTTGGATTCACATTGTGGCTGTAATTCCTGTACTGCTGCTGCTGTAGTGGCATGACTTTTCGGGCGTCTTCTCTGTCTTGTGGTGTCCAGTAACCTGCTCCTTCAGTTGTACCCGGAAGGTTGTGAACCCTAGGGCCCACCGCGGGCAGCACAGGACTTTGTCGGTCTCCGGGGTTGTCGCATTCGCCGCCGCCTGGAGATTTAAACCTCAGCTTGTGCGGAAGACTCTTCATACTGTCCACTGATTCCATCCGGTTGGATGACATGGTGAGCTGTCCCGTTGCTAAAACATCAGCTGAGGAGTGATGGGACTCGTAACCCAGTTCATCTGCTTGGTGCGGAGACAGCTTTCCATGGTCACTTAGTCTGTCCTCAAAGAAGACGGGACTACCAACACTGGACCCACCGGGTGTGGAGAAACCGGAGTCTTCTGACATACTGATCGTATCTCTGATACTCCGGCCAGATTGCGGTCCGCTTTGGGACTGATTTGACGATACTGGACCAGCTTGGTGAGCGCCATCCCCACGTGGAAGGTAGTAATGTGGCGCCGAAGGTTGTGGGACGCAGGTTCCTGTTGTGAGTGGAAGTATGGAAGCGTTTGAGGGATCTTTAATGAGGCCGAAGCGAAATTTCAGTGCGAGCAGTTCCGCTCGTAACCTGGCGTTCTCCTCGAGCAGCGCCAGCACGCGGTTTTCCAGCACCATGTCATTTACACGCCGTTTCTCACGAGAGCGCTTTGCGGCTTCGTTGTTTTTCCTGCGCTTGTCCCAGTAGCCCTCATCCTTCTTCTCGTGAGCAATAAACTCCCGCTTACGCCTCACAGAGGTGACGTTGTCTGAATCTGTGTCTTTGCGTTTAAGCGCCGACGTTCGGCCCAGGAGCGAGCGTGCAAGCAAACTGCTTGACGTCAGGATGGACACAGCTTCATCGGTGAAAGACATTGTGCTACTGGGAGCAGTCGCATTTAACACCCTCATCTCCTGAGATGACTCTTCAAACATCTTGAGGTTGTTGGTTTTTCTTCCTCGGTTGCAATGTTAAAAGTTGTGGTTCGTCTCTGGTGTGTTTGAATGTGGTTTTCAGGTCAGTCTCAGATGTTATTGACGCAGCAGTGGCTCCACCTGGTGGCAGAAAGAGCACAATGATATCCAGTCAGTTACGTAAGATGAGTTACCACACAATGTTATGTAACTTCATTACCTCCCAGTGGCAAAGCACAGTACGTTCTTGCGACACCGCATAATAACGAGGTTAACGAGTGTACAGTTATATAGCCACCTTACGCAAAGTGACATAACCGTACCGAGTTAGATATACATCACTTGAATATCATCACATAGACTAGTTTTTAACAACAGTTAACAACGGCTACTTTATGTAAACCAGAAATGCCGTGTTGACCTCTTTGCGGAACAGCTTGTGCGTGATTGAATCTTATCTTTCTGTCCCAGTGAGTCACTTCATCATGGGATCCTGCCTTACACCAGGTTCTGTTACATAGGCTACAGATTTAAATTTTTTTTTATATTATATAGAAAGCTATATGTTAATAACCTTTCCTCGTACAAAAATAAAGACTAACAAAAACGAAATCAGTGGATTAAACATGATAATACTCCAAAATAATTATTTGGTTTAAGTTAACATTCCGGAACGACTTGGATTTATGTATTTAACTAAAAAAAATCTCATTTTATTTTCAATTAAACAATCCTATTGAAAGCATCCCGACTGCATTGCAAAAATAGACCTATCTTCTATTGCATAATGTTACCAAATTAAATTTAGTGGCTGGTTTGGTTTTTAAGATGGTCTAGATGGCCCAAGTCATCTTTGCACCAGATACAACTTTTGGTACCCAAAACAAGGGATTTTTCCAACAGTGGTGTTTAGCAGCAATATTCCAAAATCTAGGCTATAATTTGTCCAAATTAAACAAAGACTTAAAATACATGTATATATATATATATA